GTGACTGGGATAATTGGGATGGGAGTGTCAGAGACAGTGCGATTGGCACAGGACAGAGCGGAGTTTAGGGCTGCTGTACACAGGGTCGCTATGAGCCGCAAGCGACTAGATGGCACATAACAACAACAACATGTATCTACCAAGAAGAATATCTATATACCATTAACAGGTCCAACTTAACCACTGTCATTCAGTCTATTTTGGCTCATGGCAATCTCAATCAGGTTTAATAAACTATATAAAGTAGTAAGTACATTTTAATAAAAGCAAACTCCCTCTTCTCTCTCCCATAGAACTAGTAGATTTGGCAGCTGAAGGCACTGACCACTAGCCAGAATTCATTTTCTAGCATACTAGACCTCATAGACAAAAAAAAAAAAAAAAGCGTCACTCTAAGAATAAAAACAAACAACTCTGTCTAGAATGCTGGGGAACAGTTGGTGTGTGCCAACTATAATAAATTGCTACTTTAAAGCAATGTTTTTTAAAACATGTTGCCACACACTTTTTGTGCTTTGAAACTCATTTGCGTCATTTGCGGCACTCATCGCAATGTGTTAAGGAGCTGTGGTAACATGGGAAGGTTGAGTCTTAAAAGATATCAGTTTCATACACACAAACTGTTCCCGTTATTAAAATCCATAGTACTAAACACATAGCTACATGGTCAGTTATGTCACACACCATTCTCCTGTCCCTATTTGTATGAATCATTGGGTCCAATGTTTGTGGCAATTTGTATCACAGACTACTCATAATTTTGTATCATGGAAATAGGTTGGAGAGTGTGGAAGGCAAACAACATTACACAATCCAAATCCAGGTTTAGCCCAGCAGTCCCAAACCAGATTAAAAGCAAGACACAATTCCTAAAAGTCCAGGTTTAGTTCAGCAGTACAAATGTATCTCTGGTTTCCTCAGTCATTCAGAAAACTTTATTTCTGAGCAATTACAAGTTAGCTTTTCTGTCATTAACCATCAAGCAAAACCTTTACCTGTGGCTCCATCTCCATGGTTCTTCTGGTCACACCCTGCAATTGTGTCACAGCCTATTCACTCTCTCCACCACTGTTTTTTCACAGTGTGGAACGCGCTGGTACTGGTCCCACAGCTGTTGATGAATTGTAAGAAAATATGTTCACAGTTAAGGTAGCTAGAGACAAAGCCCCCAACGGGAGCTAACACCATGGACAGAAAAGCCATGGTTTCTGAACACCACAAATGCTATACATGTGAGAGAGAGCAAGCAAAGCTAAGAAAATTCTCTTCTCAGATAGAGGTAAATGATCCTTCAGTAAACAGGTGACCTATGGTTCTATTAATGTTACCAGGAAATAAAAACTTGTACAAAGCATTACCTTGATCGACTCCGATCCTTATTCCGATCAGAGCTCCGTTCTCGGTCTCGGTCACGCTCGCGGTCCCGGTCTCGATCGCGTTCTCGCTCCTTTGTCCGGTCGCGATCCCTATCCCGCTCGCGTTCCCGCTCCCGTTCCTTCTCTTTTTCTCGTTCACGTTCTCTTTCCCTTTCTCGTTCCCGTTCTCGCCTTTCTCGTTCCCTTTCACGCTCCCTCTCTCTTTCTCTCCGTTCTTTCTCAATTTCCTGTCTTTCTTTCTCCTTTTTGCCTTTCTCTTCTTCCAGTTTCTAGAAACCAATAAAAGTACTTTTAGAGTTAACTCTGCAGCTCCATATTCAGATTATTCCCAGCATATTTCCCAGTAACAAGAACAAAAACATCAAACCAAGGGTTTTTTAATACTAATTACTTGAAGCTTTAACTTGACAAACTCAAACTGAAGCAATCACAAGACTAGATAGATTTCGTGCAAACCATATTCTGTACAGACCAGGAATCTCCAATCTTGGATGCTGGGAGATTGTGTCAAGTGTGGCTGGTCACTCAATGAGTATGTAATAACTACAATGATCCCAGGGAGTATGTTAATTAGTATTTCAGGAAATACATTAAATCATGTGGGCTTAAGCTAAAAATTAATAATGCTCATTATTAATTCTGTAAATCAGCAGGACTACTGACATTCATTGTAACCCTAGACTTTGAATTATCTAAGGTTTATTAGTTAAGAGTTTCAAGGGGCTTCACTATATACAACAAAATCATCTTCTGTCATTTGCTTTCCCCCACCCTCCAAAAGGAAGATGACCTGAATTCAGCCACAATCTGCCTTATATCTCTAGGAAAATATACTCCCACCATTTCAAGACGGACAGCCCACTAAACAAAAAAAAAAGTTTAACAATCACTCACTTCAAGCAGAAATATACTTTAACTGTTATATTATTACTTACTTTTTAAAAAATATATTTATGCTTATTATGTCTATAAGACAATACAAAATATTCCAACAATGATAATTCCATCCTTGGAAGCAACAATTGTATATTAACTTACAGATGCTGTGCTAGGACATGGAACGCCAACACTGGATTAACCTTGCCTATAAGCTATGTTTCTGGGAGGAAGAGCAAGTACATGGTTCACAAATAAACCAAATTAACAAAAGTCAGACCACGTTTGTATCCTGAGAAGATTACCAGTGTTACCACACGGTTTCTATACAAACTTAAAAGAGAAAACCAAATAACCCAAACAAACACAAAGCAAAACACATTTATTCTTTTGGTTCCATGTTTAGTGTCACTGAAGTGAAATTTAAACTGCAACAATAAAATTGCATTATTCTCTTTTCTCAGTTACGTAAAGCATTTAAAACAACTTTAAAAAGCAATCTTACCTGTAAATACACTTTTTTCTCTTGCTCATGGAACAGAAGACTGACAGAGGATTGATTATGAAAGAAAAGTTAATGAAAGATCAATATATTCAGCTGCTGTACCTGTCTAATATAGAATGCAGGCAAAGCCAAGACTGAATACATTGAAATTACAACAGGAAAAGGAAAGAAAAAGTTGAAAGAAGCAGAATCTGAAAGCTAAAGGGGTAAAATCTCTATTTTTGAAACAGATCTGACATAATAAAAAATTTGTATTATGAGGCTAAACTAAAAAAAAAAAAAACCAACAAACTTACCTCAATGTCATAGAATTAAAAAGAAATCTATTTCTGAGATAATACTTACAGATTATTTTAGTTGTTCCAATAATTACTTATAGAATTTCTGAGATTTTTCTTTTCACTCTTGCTTATTTATGGCACTATGTATTTCTTAAGAATATAACTATGTTTAGGCAATGATTTGTTTCAGGATTCATTCCAAAAGTTCTGTTCTATGTAAAAAGTCATAGTTCCATACTAATTGCTTCTTTACAAAGCTACACATGTAACAGGTAGATAGTTAAGACTAAAATTAAAAAGCCTGAAGCAAAATGAAAAGGGAGGACCAAAAAAGATGAAGTAATGAAGAGAAAAGGATAGATTTTTTTTTAAAAAACCATAAATCTTACCTCATTTTCTCTTCAGACTCGTCCGTGCTGTAAATGGACGCCCCCTGCCACGCTGATAGCCTGACAGTCTGTGGTTATTTAATAAACTCATACCAAAACATGCAAAGGTTCACTGAGCTCATTTTTTGTTACTGGAGTTCTAAACTTTCCCTTTACCCATACCACCCCAATAAAAAGAACTTGAGTTTCTTTTGATTTTTTTTTTCCAAAAAAAGGACACATCAGAAATTTAAAACATGAAGCAAACAACTTCTGAAGAAGGGAAAAAATTTTTCTTAAATTCAATTTCTTCATACTATACCATCTGACCAGTTTTATTTCACCAATAAGTAACAAAATGGGGAGGGGTTAACCACACACACACACACAACTATATGCCATTTTCAGGCTCACTTAAACCCTGATTTTAGATATTAAATCTAAATAAAACAATTCACCTAAAAGGACTATTTTCTCATCTCTCAAAATTTATTCTAGGAAATTAACATTTAAGCTTTCAGACACCTTCAAGTCTGGAAACAGTACTGTGTATGTGGAGCTGTAAATCTGATAATAATTGATCCTCAGCATTAATTATTAACTTTGGATTTTTAAACCAGTAATTGACTGAAAAGAAAAAGTGAACATTTAAAATTTTACTGAGTCAAAGGCCATATTCAATCTAGGAATAAGAACCAGTCACATCTTATTACTCCTCTAATATCAAACTATATTTCATGCAGTGTTTGCATTACACTGTCCGTAAGCATTACCTTCAACACCAGCGAACACCCACAAATGCACTGTCAATGAAAGCAATTTTCATACACAAAACTCATGAGTGGGATTCCAAGCCAGTTACCCCTTTGCATATTTTTCTGAGGGGGCATCCATAAATATAATAAAAAACAGAAGCTCATACTTACATCCTATTCCTTGTTACTTTCCAAGCTGAGAGTTTCATCTTGCATTAGTCACCATATGATCTCTATCATAATGGTGGGGGTCAATGAATAGATTAGCTTTATGGGAATTTACAGATCTTCCATGCATCTAAAATTTGGTAAGTCTGGTAACCACTAACCTATTTTTTAAAATTTCCCCCTCTCAACTTAAATCTATACAAATATAAATCTTAAATTTTCATTTCGGCTCTAAAGAAAATTTTTTCCTAAGCTACACTTCCCCCAAAAATTTACTACAGTGTATGTCATCCTGCTGCCCCCTAAATCTAATTTAAACTGACCTGGATGCTCATGTTGAAATCTTTATTTAAAAAAAAAAAAAAGAAAAAACAACCAAAAAACACACCCAAAAATTCTTTGATTCTTATTAGAGTGAGATGACTGCAGAGTATCAGCAACTGAAAAAAACCTATGCACACTCTGTCAAGGACCTTTTTAATATGGTATTAGTCTTCTGTTTCTTGGTTTCTATCTAATTATTAATTAAACCTATAAAAGACAATTAAAATTCATTCTAATGTAAGGTTGATTTTCTTTTTGTCTGTTTTGGATTCTGTAAAAAGTCTAGTTTGGTATCAAGTGATTAAAAAATAAGATTACCTTGTGTGTGTCTCTGAATTTGCTGATCTCTCGGGATATCAGATCTCTTTTGTCCTCTTCCATTTCTATAGCATTTATATCCTCCTAAAAGACAGGTGAGTTGAGAGAGAATGCATAAAATCAGTCTGCAAGTACACAGAGAGATAAAGTTTTTTGTTTTGAGTAGGTCTTACAAACAACATGGTAACAAACAGATCTTCTAAAGTAACAAAGCTAACAATCTCAAGTTAGATCTTCTAAAGTAACAAAGCTAACAATCTCAAGTTAGTTAATGTCAAAGTTTACAATATAAACTAACCTTAGTGATGAGTGGGTAAGGAATCAATGGGGCCACTGGAAATCTGCGAAAAATCTGCGGAAAAATCCATGAAACAGTTTTTTAAAATGAAGTCACAATACTCCTCTAAAACAATGCTTGATGTTTGTCTTTTAGGCAATAGAGTATTTCTGTGACATTTTCTCAACTTTAATAAAAAATGTTTCACACATTCCCTACAGTTTTTCCATTAATCAACCACCTTCTCTACCACTACTATCCCTCAAACACTAGAATAAGGAATGTCTAATCGATTTAGTTGGTATTTTCAACTACTTCCTATGTAAATGAAAGTTGGACAATGAATAATGACAGAATAAGAATCAATTCCTTTGAACTACAGTACTGAATATCTTATGGACTGCCAAAAGAACAAGTCTATTATGGAAGCAGGATGCCTCTTAGAGGCAAAGATAGTGGAACTACGTCTCACATTCCCTTGGGCATGTTATTTAAGAGGCTCTTGAAAGGCAAAACGCAAAAGAAGATTCCTAACAAAATGGACTGTAGCAACTGGCTTGTACATAACAGATTATTATGAATGGCAAGGTTCAGACCTACTGGTCACAGGGTCATTATGAATTGTAGTCAATGCAAAGGCTCAAAACAGGATCTCTTGGTACAAGGACTGAAGTACTCTGAAAGGCTGGCAACTCAAATGGGAATCTGTAATGTTTTAGTCTTAGAAACTCTGTGGGGCAGTTATAACTCTGTCCCACAGTGACACTGACACAGAATCAACTTAACAGTAGGGGGTTTTGAAGGAGAATATACTAGTGCTAGGAAGAAAGGCCTAGTGAACTACTTCTCAAATCAACTAATGGCGAAAATTGTCCAATCTGCAATCAATCATGAAGACAGAATCAGATGTGGGTAACATTTCATTACATTTATGCATGAGTTGCGAAGGGTAGGGGACTGAGACAAAAAATGATATCCTAGAACAGGGCCTTTTCCTGGTCCTCTGAAGGATCTATTAAATAATCATATCAAAAAAAATCATATAAAGTTAAGATTTCTTTGTTCTCTTCCTCCCATGTCATATGAAACAAATGTTTATTTTTCCATGCCTGACCCACCAGTGAGTTTCTGAGGCTGTTAATTCACAGGAGAAGAGATTGTCCATCTTTCTCCCTCAAAGTCCTTTGTGGATTCAGAGAGTTAGAGATCTGCACATAGTACTTTCCAGTAGGTTCTGAATAGATCAACATTAATCTTCCAATAGTTCAAAACTGCTAAATGGGCTTTTAATGACCAAGAGGAAGAACTGAGCTCTGCAATGAAAGTTAACTTGGCCACAAAGACTATAACTAATAAGGTATTAAATCCAAATAAGAACACCCTAAGTACGTCTACACAATTACAGTACTTCATAATACTTATTCGTAGCACATACAGTCTATAAATAGGAAATAGTTTCCAATATTTTAAAGAACATTTTCTGTAATTTTTCAAAATTTAACCAAACAAATGCATATGAGAGAACAAAGTGTATACTTTTAATCTTGACTACCTACTTTTCAATCTGAGTAGGCTAAAAATAAAGACTACACCAGGGAGAATTTCACTGTGCACTCCTCTTTCACAATTCTCCAGGAAGATGTACATTATTATTATAATACTAGAGGTGGACTGAAATATGCCCTTTAAAGGAAAGACTGTTCAAAATTAAGTAAGTGAAATCCTCAGCTGAGAGATAAGACTGGAACAGAGATGGAATAAACCCAGTATGGGGTAAGGCAGAAGAGGGGCAATCTATTCATGACCCTCATTATCAAAATTTTTTTTCAATCTTACTTAACATTATTCCTTTACTATCAGTTCCTAATGCCTATGCATTTCACACATATAAAACATGAACAATTAAAGCAAAATATTATGAAGCTAATTAACTGGTAAAGCACTTAAATAAGGCTTAATACTATACTATTATAAATGCAACTTATCCTGTTAGTTACTCATCAGTTCAAATGTAATTAAAGTACAAGTGTGGCATTATTAAAAACCCAAACTGGACAAAGTACTGCTTTGTTAGAATTAGTGACACATACGTCTTCTTTCTTTTCTTTCTTTTTCTTCCTAGGATGAGCATCAGACTCCTGTGAAGGGGCATTGAGCTCACTGGAGTATTCGCGTATTAATACTTCAATGGCCCCTTTAATCATCTGATCTCTTCTTTTTGTTTCTTCATCTAAGGCTTCTTCATCATCAGTAGTGACGGTCTCTGGTCTGGCGTTCTTACGTAATGAGGCAAATTAAAGAGAGAGAGAACAAGAAAATGAAAATAATTCTCACACCCATGCAGTGTTAGACAAAAAAAGAGAACTAGTATGTTCTCCCAAAAATCCTTAGTTAAATGTGCCTTATTAAATGTGAAATTGGCTTTTCCCTTCATTTCACAAAACTAAGTTTAATTTCATTTTTTCCTGAGATACGGATACTTTTTATTTTATTTTCTTCTCTTCCTTTCAATGATGTTATTCTGGTTCCTAATCAACTAAAAATCATTAAATGGCAGTCCTATCACTTTCCGATCATTTTGGTCAAAAGCTGTAGAAATTAATTATAGCTATACAAATAACAGAGTCCTGCAAACATAGAAATTTATGAATGGCATAAATAACTAGAAAGCACTAAACAACTATAGACAGCTAGAGGTTAGAAGCTGAAACCCTGTTTTCTCCCAACCCACCTAACTGCACTTTTTGTAATAAGGGAAAACTATTTAAACACACAAGCACTCACTCCATATTTATATATATAAAAAAATAAAACCAGAATGTTTGTCATAGCACTTTATGCAAGGCACAAAACTCCTCTTAAAATGCTAGAGTAAGAAAAAATTGCTTTCTTCTTTTCCTAAACAATCTTATGGATTACTCTTAGTTAATTAGACCTATGAACCCAACTGCTTTCTTTATGCCTTGGAATCAGAAGAAAATGCCTGAAAAGAGTAGTTCACACCAATTTCTCACTCCCTTATCATCCAACAACTTAAAAAACAGGCATTCTCAACTTCTCCAAGTTTGACCTTGAAAACAATGACAGATCTACATTCTATTCCATAACACAGGGGAAAAAAGATATCATTTTTTCCCGTTTTCCTTTAATCCATAACATCTGAGTACAACTGACAACCTAGGAAAATACATTATGGTCTTCCTAAGACTGCAAGTAAATCTGGGCATGATGCCTAACACATCCAGACCTACAGATGTAAAAAAAAGAAAAAAAACAATGATATGGTATCTGTTAAACAATTGTTTTAATTCTATTTTGGGTACAATGAATGTTCCGTATGTTTTACTGGGAACAGTGTTAATTCTTTTTGCAGTTTTATCATTTATTTTTTTTTTCCTTGACATTTAAGTCCATTCCTAGAGAAAGCAGCAAAGAGATTTAAAATATGGTTCCTCAAACTCAGTGTTTACTGTGAGGAAATCCAAACTCTAGTAATTTGTGTATTTCCTAGTTTATATATGTACATACATATATATATGTATGTATGTATATATATATATATGTATGTATGTATGTATGTATGTATGTATGTATGTATGTATGTATGTTGTTGTGTACCATCAAGCTGGAAACTACCCACCATAGCTGACCTTCTGGCAGATTTTCAGAGGCAGTTAATCTCACAGGAGAGTCTCCATCCCTCTCCCACAGAGCAGCTTGTGCCTTCAGGACTGCAGTGCAGTTTCTTACCACTAGGCCACCAGAGATCCCTCTATATATATGATGATGATGGTTCATATCATGTTCAGAGACCTTAGTTAGCCAACTGCAAATGTTACAAATTAAACCACCCCACAAGGTAACAATTAAACACTATGAAATAGTAAACTCATAGGATATTGATTAAAAACTCTGAATATATAATAATTTATTTATGAGTGTTAATAAGGAATAAAAATAAATAGGTGAGTTCAGTGAAGGGAAAGGCAACATACACTAAGGGTTTGATTAGATAATGTAATTATATTAATCAATTATAACATGTCATACAATGTCTGTCTTATGAATGACTGACTGAAGTCATTCTGAGTTATAAATTGTCACTAAAATACATTTTGAAAATAGGAAGAAAATTAAAAAGAATTTCATTATCATAGCAAGAAAATGAAAAATTTTTCTTGCAAGTTTTTTCATTTGTAAGGATGTAACAGGCAAATATCAAGATATAATTTACAATCCTTTCTTATTACTTATAAATCTATAGAGAAAGTAATCAATACAGAGGTAAGCAATGTAACTGCAACTGCCATTCAATAAATATTTACTCCATTTCAACACTAGAATCCTGCCCCATCCACCTTGTTATGTGCAGAATGCAGGGGGAGAATAAAAATTATATTAACCATATATATTCCACTATATGTGTAAATAAAGATAAAAGAGCCAAAAAATACCAAAGGATATTTTCATTACAATTCTAAGGACAGAATTTTAATAGGTAGTTTGAGGAGACAACAAGAGGAGAAATGTCAATGAAGGGGAGGGAGGAAAAGCTATAAATAGAAAGGTAAACTAGAGGCGGTCTTAAGTAAAATACAAAAAAAATGCAAAACAAAAAAAAATGGAACTTTATTCCATAAGGAATTTAAAGTTAGGAGCAGAGGTTTAAATAATCATACCCATATTTTAGCAATACAGGTAGTACTCTTAACAGATGAGAATAAAATGTACCATGAAAATAGGCTTGAGATCATTTTACAGTTCATAGGCATGATGACTGGGTGTTCATGATTTTGTAGGACATGTACCACCCTTTAAGCCTTGTTAAGATATGGGCACATTACCTATCTGACATTAAAAAAATATATAAAAAAAAAGAAAATAAGCTTTATTACTAAAAGGCCAAAGAGAGACAGGATTAAACTAAAACAAAGGCAAACAGGAAAAAAGAAACAAACTTGCACAGAACAGTATTTCAAAGTCAATCCTTGTTATGGTGGGGAAGAAAAAAAAAATTATTAATACTGTATTTAACTGAAGAAAAATGTCCGGGAAAATACTCAAACAATATGCCTAAAATGGTAATGAGATTTTATGTCATATTTTCTATATTTCCATTTACTTTGTGGCCTTTTCAAAAAGCATATACAATGGTTCTGTAATGATACAAGGAAATAGAAATAGATTTGTCTTGAAGATAGAGGAGAGTGAATAGCACAAAAAAACTGATTATTTTTGTTTTCTGTCAGAAGGAGAAGGTAGTAATCAGTTCCATTTGAGGTATTAAAAAAAACCAATAAGGAAAAATATACTCAAATCCTAGCTAATTTGTTTTGTAGAAGGAAGTCAATATATACACTAAAATACTAAAAAATTTTACTCTAGCATTACGTTATATATTCTGACTAAATAAGACCATCCACCTTTGGAAAGCAGGAAGACTTATTTTCATTCCCCTTAGAACCTGTGTATTTCTAAAAAAGAGCAACTAATAAAAAATGTGCAGTTTAATATATATATTTTGTACTTACTGACAAAGCTGCCTTAATGAATTAGCTCTGTTTGGAATAGTCTGTACCAGAGTTTTCTCCCTTACTACCTTCATCCCAACCTGGAACAAGCAAATCAACAGTCATCCACCCACTAAGGGTAGATAAAAGACTTAAAAGCTACAAACTATAAAACTCTCTTCCATTTTAGTCACAATCATAAGTTGATGATTTTGGGAAGCCCCATATTAGATTGGCTTACAAGAAAAGCATTTTCACTGACACAGCACATCTGACCTAGAGAAAACATACCCCATTTGAGGCTTTCTTCTTTGCTTTCCATTCATCAAGCTGTGCCTTTGTCTTTGCATCAACTTTAACAAGCAGCTTCTTCTCTCCAATCTGCAGGTCATGTAATAACCTGAGTGCACGGAGGGTAGATTCAGGCTCCTTATACTCACAGAATCCAAAGGCTAGGAAGAGATGTAAAGAATTAGTGAAACATAATTATGAAGAACTGTACAAATATTAGAATACAAATATTATCAAGTGCTTATTCTTCTTTTCTTTTAGTGCATTTGGTAAACATCTCATTTTTATCACCACCTTGAACCAAAGTCTTCTAATTATTATATATGAGACAGACACATACAAATTGTTTAAAGAAAATTATTTATATGGTCCTTGGGAGGAAATGGATGGAGTACAGATGAATCACAATTGTAAATAAGTTGCCTAAATATTAGGACCAGATGTAGAGTACATCTGAGTAGACCACACTATTCTAATATTCAAAATACATAAACTTTTCTGTAATAAAATGGTTTTTAAAAAATGTATTAGCAAATAAGTTTTCTACTCGTATTAGTAGTTTGCTTTCCAGAGCAACATTCATCTCATTAACTTTTATTTTCCTCTTATCCTAGAAAATTCTAATTGTTTCATCTTGAACATGCAGTCCCACTAAAAGGGACCTCTAAATGCAGTATTAGAAGGAAAGAGTAATTTAGTCTAAGAAATTATTTTTTCCTTTCCTACCTCATTTGTTATATTTTTCCACTTTCTATAACAACTCTCAGCCAATATCTTCCCAAGTGACTCTTAATCCTATTTTAAGCGGAAGAAAGACAAAGAGTGCTAACAGACCTCCCATAATTAAAGACAATAAATAAAAATACAAGAAACAAAATCTGATGTATGCACTCAGGTTAAAATTATCTTGACAAAAGGAAAAAAGCCACACAAAATAATCCAGCTACTTACCTTGAAGTTTTCCAGAAGCACCCTGTACCCTCTTCCAGCTTAAAACCAGACCACATTTCTTTAAAACAAACAAAAAAATAATTAACAGAATTGAAAAAATTCAAAAAACAAAAGCAATTACATTATCACTTTGAAAAACACATACAAACACCAGCAACTAAGTTTATTAAAATTTTCCCTACACTCACAAGGCTGATTGTTCTTTATTCATAACAAATCCTGACTTTTTAAAAACTAGAAATTTCAGTTATTAAACCTATAAAAAAAATATAAAAACACAAGTGTCCAATAATAAAAAACTAATTGCTGCTGAGTCAATGTTAACTCACAGCCAGCAAGTCTGATTTCTTCTGAAACATGTCTGAGAAGACTAACACTACCAATCTTTGAAGTTAGCAGATAAGCAAGTTAACTACAAATAGCCAATATTAGAAATTTATTTAAATTCTTTTTAAAATCTATAAAAGCCTCTAATATATTCAAGTAAATATGAATCCCATTATGATTATTATAAAGGGAAAACATGGTTAAATATAATGGTGCTGCTTTACGGTAAATATTCGGCGGTAGAATGCAATGTCATCACTCAAATTTTATTTTAATCTTTATTACTCAGGGGAAAGTGTACTGTGTATGTATGGGGTGAGAGTGAAAGTAAACATGACAAAAGAGTCCACTGAATAGTTAATTGGTAAACTGAATGATGCTGACTTCAATTGTAACTTAATCCATTTCAATTTATAGTGACTCCACGTATGCAGAGCAGAACTGCTTCCATAAGGTTTGGAAGAAACAGTTCACCAGATCTGTCTTCCAAGAAACCTCTGTATGGGTTTGAATGAGAACATTTTGGCTATTAGTCACATACTTAACCATTTTATCACCAAAGTAAAGAATATAAGGATGCTCAATGTATTCTTTCATCTTTTCTACAGGATCATGTTTTCCAAATAAAAAATTGTAATAAAGGATCACTCAGGATGTGTGCTTTTCCATGGGTTTAAAATTTTCTATAATAAAAAAAATTTTAAATGAATATTTAACTCACAGCTAGGAGCTGTCTTATAAGCATGTCTGAAGCTTTCTCAGAAATGTTTCCAACAAAAACTGTAGTAGTGGGACCACAATTTTCATCATTTTCTTTACTCTTTAAGCCCGGATGGTCCTTTCTGGCTCCCAAATGCTTTCCAACCATGGATACTGTGGGCACTAAGACCTAAAGTAAAGAAAGACAATAAAATTTAAAACTATGAAATTCAATTTAAGGATAGCCTAAAAATGTTAATTTCAGAGTATTTTATGCATGCAGACACATGTATTCTCTCATTAAAACCTCCCCACGTTTACCATCGAAAACACAGAGCAGTCTCCAAATTCTAAATGATCCATAAGTTGAGAAAAATGCAAATAAAAATAATGACTGAAAACTCTTCTGATCTTCTGACAGAATACTTTTTTTAAACATTATTCTGATCACCATTCCCATACACTATGTACTTACATTTTCCTTTTTATCAATTTTTGTTTCTATCTTATTGTCTCTTTATAACTTCTGTCTCCCTAAAGAAGTTAAGAATCTTAATCTTCTCTCTACTTAGCAATGAAATGAACAAAACAGCCACAATAAGTGTTGAATAAATAGTGAACTGAGGGAGCTATTACAAATTTTACCTTGTTCTAGGCTAAAATACTAGGGGATAAGAATACTGAACGTCATATGCAGGTTTTCCAAAACAAACTATGAATGTCTAATACAAGAAAAGCCAGGTTCCTCTTTCACTTCAGAAACACCATCTTAATGTTAGGCCTCATAGTAGATCCCTATTTAACCTACTGTCTTTTTAAAAAAATGGACAATTTTCAAAATACCAGAGAACAAAAACAGTTGAAAAGAGTTTTACTCTCCCTCACAGTGAACACATCCAATGAGGTCTGATCATGTGCCAATTAATTCCCAGAAAGAGGTAAATAAAAGCATTAAGACGCTTAGAATGTACACTTTGATAAATGTGGAGAATTAACCAAAAGATTAAGATGGAATAATAAGGGAGCTCTGGTGGCCTACTGGCAAGAAGCTGCACTGCTATCCCAAAGGTGTGCAGTTCAAGACCACCTACATGCTCCACTGGAGGAGGAGGGGCAATCTCCTCCTATATCAGTTGTATCCAATTCGACAGTAAATGCATACACAAAACTAGTATTTTTTTTTAAAAAAAAGATGGGATAATAGGCAAATTTGCATAGAAAAGGTTTCAATAAAAATAAACAATGTTTGAGTGGGTTATATAAATGAGAGGACAGAAAAAAAAGGAAAATGAAGAAATGATACAAAAAGGGAAATCTCTAATTTCATTCAGAAAATTCCATTTTCTTGCCATTGAAGAAAGAATCATCACAAATCTTTCCTACCTCTCAGACCAAGACAAGATGTGGCAGTGATCAAAGAGACAAAGTCCTAAATCAGTATCAACAATGCCTAAAACTAAAAGCTAAATTACCACTGAGTGGATTCCAATGCCTGGCAGCTTTGCCAATGTGAGTGTTGAACTGTCCTCCATATGTTTACTTAAATAGATCGATCACCAGGATTTTCTTTCAAAGAGCCAGTAAATGGATTTTTGGTTAGCATGTAGCTTGTTTTTGTTACCAAAGAACCCCAATAAAAATCTCAAGAGCTCATTTAAAGAGAAAATCATAAACCCACCTAATATACATATGCATATATATGTGTAATACATTTGTATATTACTCATTTAAATAAGTATTACTTTGTAGATTTGTGTTCTCACTTTCCTACTGTTATTCTTTTTAACACAGAAACAATTCATGTACGTTTAATAAGGTTTTTCACTGAAAAGCACTAGCCTATCGCTTAATTCCTTAAAATTATAAATTATAAAATTATACTTACAGTTGGAGCAGGAGCCATAATGCTCATTGGTACAGGAATCATTGGAGTTCCTAAGGACAAAGGAAGAGGAGTCTTGATAACACTCTCTTATACTACCATATTCTTTAACTGCTATAAACCACAGAAATAAAGACTTTTACTCATAGTTACCTTAAAGTGGAAATGTAGAAATCATGAAAATAAAATATGAACGCAATGTTTTATTTTAAAAAGTACTATTTAATCTGGCAGATCCATATTCAATTACACCCCAACTATTCTGAAAGCAAAAGGTTACCACATATGCATATACACCACCCCACAACTGTGCTGGCTCTGGGCAGTGCCAGAGGGCCTGGGCCCACACTGCGGGTGTGGTAGCTGGCAGGTGGGCAGTAGGCAGGCAAGGGACTGGGGCCAAGCACCAAGCCCCTTGGCTGTTGTTGGTGTTTTTCTTGCTTCCTCCTTTTGGGATCCAAAGGTATGTCCTCTAGTCCCCGAGAGTTAAGGCCAACATAGGCACAGTTTAGCTTAAGGAGTGGCAGGGAACCCACAGTGTTTTTCTTAAAGAATACAAAATTCTAGATTGTTTATAAGTTCAGGATTATCAAATTCAATAGATCCTCAATACTAGGACTTTTCACAAATTATCGATCCACTTATGGGTAATTAATGGTATTAATGAATCAAGTTCAATAATATCACCTACTGTTAAAGTAGAAATCTGTCTCTAAGACATTATCTGCTGCTCTGAATAAGTCATTCTGAGCATCTCAGAGCTACTACTGGTAAATGCATTTACATCCTGGTTTTAAGCTACAGGACATACTAATTAATGCCTGCTAAACAGAACTGACTAAAAGAAAAATGTTATCACTGAAGAAACAAAATGCTTCCAATGAAGGTAAATCCAGAGTTTTGTCTTTCCTATGGCTTATTTTTAAATGTTTCTACTATATTGTGAAATAATCCTTCAGTTCAAATTTAGCATCACATTAAAATGGTTGTTGAAGTGGAAATTCAATTGAGGGGGAAAAAAATTATAAAAACCTCTACTCATAACAAAGCATCTAGAGAAGGGTCACTGGGCCTTGGAGTTCAGGCCCAGAGTCAAGGTAGATAAATCAAGGTCAATAATCACAACATAATCTGTAAGACAATGTTCTATATCCTATTTCGGTGAATAATGTAAGGTGCAGCTAGCTACTGGTTTGCCCCTTATCTTGAGCATGTAAGTGTGAAACAAAAATTCATCCTTTGATTAGTCCAAAGAGAAAATGGACCATATGAAATTCAATCTCCATGACCCCCATACTAGAGGAACTAGCAGTAATACCCCTACTGCCTGCTCTGAAATATTGAATATTACATCTCTGATGGACTGGAAGAAAACTGTAGAACAAAATTCAAAATCATAAAGATATCAGACTTAAAGATCTATGAGAGACTGGTGAGGTCCCTGAGACTATGGTCCTTAGTCATCCTGCCTAGAACGGCAAGCATTCTCACGACTCAACTTTCAAACTACAGACAGACCTGTAATGCAACTAAACTCATTAGAACATACTCCTGATGAGGAGTGTGGAAAAACCATATGAGGTCAGAAAAGTATTTGCCTAATTTACCTTGGAACTAAGAAGGCCAAGAAAGGATAAATAGGAAACCATCAATTCCAACTCAGAGATACCTTATGAACAGAGTAAAATATTACCTCCCACACACACACACACACACACACTCCATCAAGTTGAAGCCCATTTGTTGTGATAAGTGTGTCAATCCATCTCAATGAGAGTCTTCCTCTCTTTTGCAGACCACCTTCTTTCCCCCAGCATGTTATCTATGTCCAAGTCTCCAGTAACATGCCTAAGTAGTGAAACCAAGTTACACCAGTATACCTCTGAGTACCCTGGCTGCATCTCCTCCAAAACAGATTTGGGGGTTCCTGGCGGTCAATGTGATATCCAATATTCTTAGCCTTAAGTGTAAAGAAGTAATTATTGTTTCAGAGTGTGTGACACTGACTGATAATTTAAGTGATTCCTTAAGAACAATGGATGTTCAAATCACTAAACAGTGTATATCTTAATGTTCCAGCTCAAAAGAAATACCAGTCCATTTACCAATTGTGATCAACAGATGGAGCTGCAGAATCCTTACCCCGAGGAGCAGCCTACTTTCACTCTCTCCAGGGTAAACCTCTTTGTTCTCCTAGCAGTTCATGGTATACTCAATACTCTTCTCCAGCACCACAGTTCAAAGGCATCAATTCTCCCTAATCATTGTCTAGCATTCTGATGCATAGCAAGTAATTTTGAAGACCACAGCCCAGATCAGGGTACTTTTAGTCTCCAGACTGACATCACTGCTCTTCAGTACTCTGGACAACAGATTTTCCCAGTGCAATCTATCTTTTGATATCCAGGCTGGTAGTACCAAGAATGCTGACTATGGAGCCAAGCAAACTGAAGCTGTTAACAATCTTAATCTCGTCACCGTTTATCATGAGCTGCCAATCGGCTATTGGTGATAATCTTTGTTTTCTGGATGTTGACCCAAAGGCCACTGTCTCTCCGGTACCAGCAGCTCCCTGGGATAAAGATGGGCAATCGCCTTACACTGAATTTCCAGTCACCTGAAAACCCAGTGAAGAATCAGCCATGACTCCATTTGACTGAAGAGCAAAGAGTCTATCTAGATTGAAAGTTTCTTTTAGATTTCTACCACCTCCCCTGCCCACATGCCCCAAGTTCAATGAAAAGGTGAGTTTAATGAGGCCCAAGGCTAGGGCCAAGAGGCATGGGAGAAAAGAAGCCAGTAAGGAGGGAATTCCTATTTGACCTTCTTAGGTCACAGGTTATTGTACCTGTACTTCTTCCTGTGACAACTAATAGCACGAGGGTCCAGGTGAGCATAACACTTGCAGATCTCCTTGTTGAAGCTGGACTTCTGGGCAAGTTGGTATAAGCAGGACTTGACAATGCTGGCACACAGATGCAGCAGCAAGTACGGGAGGGACTATTTCTAGATGCTGTAGTTAGAGTATGCCCATCCTACAGCTGTTGGTCCAGGAGGATGCTTTCCTTATCTTAGATTTTGGCTCTTATGTTCTTGATAGTATCACTGGGTTTGATCTCAAGAGGGAAGGTACTGTCAGAGTGGATTTTCAAAAAGATCTGCAGATGTCTCTTAGCTGCCTCATTGAAAAGAAACAGAGTAGCAGAACTAGAAATCATCATGCATGTATATTATTTTTAAAAGAAAAAATCTGGGGTTTCCCCCCCAAAAGATATGATTGCCACATATGTTAACTTTAGTGTTCAATTAATGAAAAATGACACTTTTACACATGAAGTAGCTTTAAATGTCACTTCAAATTACTGAGGAATAATGATGTCAGTTTGAGGAATAAAGTGCATATGATTCAGACCATAGTCTTTTCTAATTACTTGCTATGCATCTGAAAGCTAGACAATGAATAAGAATGAGAGAAAAAGAATTGATGCCTTTGATCTGTGGTGTTGGAGAAGAGCACTGAACATCCCACAGACAGACAAGAGAACGAACAGGTATGTCTTGGAAAGGGTGCAGCCACAGTGCTCTTTGGAGGTAAGAATGATGAGGCTGCACCTCACATACTTTGCCATGTTGCTAGGAGGTGCTATTCCGTGGAGAAGCACATGATGCTAGAAGGGTGGAGGGTCGGCGAAGGAGAAGACGACCCTCAAACAGGTGGACTAACACGGTAACTGCCACAATGCTCTCTTGAGTGTGTCAGGAGTGTGAGGGTGGTACAGGATAGAACAGGGTTCAGATCTTTTGTTCACAGGGTGGCTATCAGTTGTACTCGACTCGATGGCACCTAACAACAACAAAATACTGATGCTGCAGAGATGTAGGTGGCAACTAACCTGTAACCAAAGTGTATGTTTGCCTTTACAGGAATAACTTACACTGTTACTCATCGAATGGGAATTATAACACCATTCCATTCAGTGAACAAACGTGCACAATTATTAGTATGTTGCTGCTGTTGATTGGCATCAAGTCCAGCATGACCCATAGCAACCCTATGAACAAAAGACCTGAAGCCTTTCTGTAACTATCGACATTTAGTTTCCAGAGTAAATCTTTACAATTTGATGATCCACGTTAAGAGAGACACAAAAAGTAGCAATATGCCTCACTTCTGTTCCATCTATAATTTGGAACAGTTACATGGAGGAGTCCTGTGAAATGAGTTAAGTGTTCAAACAACAAAGGTTGGCAGTTTGTAGTCACCATTCACTCTGCAAAGGAAAGATGTGACAGTTTATCTCTGTAAGATCTGGAGGTTATGGTACAGTTCTATCCTGTCCTATACAGTCACTACAAGTTGGAATCAACTTGACAACAATAAATTTTACTTACAGTATAAATGAGAAAATGTTATCCCAGTAGTATGACTTATTAAAAAATGTAAAAAAATTTAAAATTTTCCTATAAACTTAATATACCAGCAAGGATATTAATGCATTGATTTTTCCTTTGCTGCTTTTCCTGACTGTGAACAAACATTAATTCCACTCATAGTTAGAAACAGAATGCTAACTGAAAAATTGACAGTTTGAATTTACCCAGTCGGTATGCATGGAAAGACCAAATAGTCTGCTCTCATAAAGACTGTTGTTGTTAAGTACTATCGAGTACAACCCATAGCTCTCAGATGCATAGCAAGTGATCAGAAAGACCATGGCCTTAATCAGATGCACCTTAATCCTCAAATTTATAACATTACTACTCAATAATTTCAATTGCACCCATAATATACCAATTTTAGAAAAACAGTACTTAGTCACTTGTATTTTAGCATCAATATTTGTTTCTTCTCAATTTAGTTTATACTTATAGACATACAAATAGAATTTGTCTCATAGAGTCTTCTAGACTAATTCTTATGTAGAACTCATTAAGACTATAGTCTATAAAACTATGCGACAAGTTCTATTTGTACGTAAAATCTCTCAGTTATATTTGAAAATATCGTGGTTCGTGGTTACTAATAAAATCTGTCAAAAAACAGATCCATATTATACAACTATACAAACAAAACTGGTAAGGAAAAATATTGATGCCAAAATACAAGTGACTCCAGACTATTCTTCTAAAATCAGTATGTGATGGTGCTAACAAACTTTCATTTTCAGCTATTTTCCTCAATTCAAATTCCAAAGGATACTAAACTACTATACAATATTCAATAGTTACTACATAGTATAATAAACTAAACATTGAAAATTTCTTACTACAAAACAACATAAAGCAAGTTGGTATAAACATAAATGTCTGCCTCAAGATACACATACACAAATTAAGTTAGCCAGATTTGAAAATAAATTTTTTGGCCCAAATTCTTTATGTTTTAATTAGTATCACACCTACTAAAGTCAGATATAGAAAGTATCCAAAACTAAATCTCTGGCCAGAAAAGATCCTCAATTTAAAATAAAAGGAGGTCTGGTGACATAGTGGGTAAGGAATCCTGCTGCCAACTCAAAGGCAAGCAGTTAGAATCCACTAGCTGCTCCAAAAAGACAGATGAAAAATCTCCTGTGTGATTAACTCCCTCTAAACACCAGGGAAGGGTCAGCTATGAGGTGACAGAGCACATAACAAGGACAAGAACACTCTATGTGTAAGTAGAATAAAAAATAAGTGCTAGATTATATATTTAAATTTTAACACATATGACAACTGTGGAAGGATAAAGGAAAAAATAAACGAGATAATCCTGTGTCTCTTGTTCAACAGGAAAATAAGAGCAAATTTGTGGATATGAGGGAAAATTTTTACCATATGCATTTCTAGAATTCTGAAAAACTTATTATCATAAGGATGTTTTATTAAAAAAGCAAAACAAAACAAAACCACCAAAGCCAAAATAACAATAACTTTGCAGATGAAGTTGCTTACTCAGTCAAATTTACAAACTGTCATGGTAAAATGTCACATCTCCAATTCTAGGATGAGACTTAAACATTTTTACTACTAGGTCAGTCACATTTTCCTAAAGTTTATGTTGCAATGACAAAAACACAGACACAAAATAAATGGTATAAACAAACTCACCTGGCGGTACAGGTGGAGGAAAACCAGGAAACTGTGGGGGTGGAATCCCTGGTGGAAGTGCTGGGATTCCCATGGGAGGGCGATTCAAATGAGGGGGGAAAGACATTCTTACTGCAGCGTTCTAAAGAAAGAAATCATAACAAATGATTTTATTTGAAAACCTTATCTTCAATATGCTTGATTTGTTGCCCTTCATTTTAGATAGCTGCAAAATTCTAAAGTTTTCTTACCCAAAGTTGTTGGCAAAGACCCTCTTTTCTCTGTCTGTCCATTGAGAATTTAAAACTTAGATCTTTTCTAAAATAAGTTCCCAAAATGTACACGATCTAAGTTCAGGATAGACTCCTACAATCATATGGGAATACATATAAAGGAGAAAAAAATTTTTGAGGTTGTTAATATCCAAAAATTAAATGCCAAACATCAATGAAATCTTTTTTTAAAAAAATTAAACTCAGAAGCCAGAAAAGTATCTAGCAGTTTCTGTTTTGCTCTTAAATATTCTGATGCATTTAGTTTTCTATACCCATCAACAACCTGCAATCTAATTTATAAGATTACAATCTATTTATTGACTCAAGATGGGTATTCCTCAGGACAAATGCCTCAGTGAAGTAAAAACTTCAGAAAAACAGAAATTCTGACATAGTAACCACTCAAACATAGAGAGCATACATACACACTGTTGGCAATCAGAAAACCTGACAACTGTAAATATTTAAAACTTCTTAACCAGATCTAACTCAAATTCAAGAAGCAGATGCTAACTTTTTATTTAAAAAATACACTATTTATACTTAATGGTATTACTTAAAAGAAATATAATTTTTCATTTTAATTAAAACAAAAAGTATTTTAAACTTTTCACTCTAATTTCTCTCTGCCAAAATACTTGTCCAGAGCTATTGGGAAAATTAAGAAAAAAATGTTAGGATATTCTGGGAGGGTCCCAGCAGCAATAAAAAGAACAGTCAAAACTGGTAGGTTGGTCAGGTCTGTCAAAATTGGTAGGCAAATCAGGGCTCCCCAATTATTGAGTTGATCAAAAGAGGAGAATTATTTGACACATCAGGACAATCCCCTCCTATGGGCTTTCAACTGAAGGAGTGTAGTTAAAATTTTTTAAAATAGTTTATTTTCTTTTTTGTGTTTTACACAATTTCAATCTTCAAAACAGGTAAGGTAAAAAGTACAAATCTTCCATTTTACAAGACCCTACAATGTGACATAAGGAGTCCTGGTGTGAGTCCTGGTGCCCAAATGTTAAGGGCTCAGTTTCTAATTTCCCAGTTACTCAGAGGGAAAAACACATGGCAGTTTCCCCTAAAAATTAACTGCTATAGACACCCAACTGGGGAAGTTCTACTCTGCCCTACAGGACCACAATGAGCAATGGGTGGGTAGTTTAGTATCATCTTATTGTTCTCAATTTATAGACACAAAAAATAATAATTTCTTTACAAGTAATGTATTCTACTATCTCGTTGTATGCAATTGTTCATTATTATTAACATCAATTCCTGTCATAAAACTATTCAGTTCTTTATAAGGCTGCGAACTATTGTAATATAACCATCCACTATTTAACTGACAGTGATGGTCACCTTGACTTGTCAGTTCTTGCAAATAATACTTTACATTCTCGAGCAAATTAGGTATATCCTACCCCTAGGGACCTGTGCAAATACCACCACAGCACACATTACCTCCAGAACATTCGTTGAAATTTATATTTCCACAATTAGTTTACAAGTATTTTCTTTTCCTAATATCCTTACCATTAGCAACACAATTATTTGCATTTCAATTCTAAGCTTTAGGGGAAGCAGGGAAGGCTGTTTAAATTTGCATTTCCCACTTACTAATAAGACTGAGTATACTATTTACCTGTTTATTAGTCATATGTTAACAAGTCTTAGAAAAAACGTTTCCTTCGTGTTCACGTGTTCTTCCTCCGTGTGTCTCTGATTTAGTAAGTTGGGGTAACTCAGTATTCTTAAAATTGCAATTTTAATTCACTAAGCACATTAAAATATTTGAAAACTTCACAGGTAAAGAAAATTCCTACACCGCTTTCATATTCTCAGCAAATAAAGTACTAGGAATAAATTTTTGAAAATACAATTAATATAGTAAATATAGGGAGTTTTTAATTTTACAATTTTTAAATTTTTTTCTAAAATATGAAAACAAGTATTTTATATGGAAAGGGGGCATAGGGATTATATCTGCCTTTTAATACAAACAGTGAGGGCTACTGTCCTACTTACAGAAGCGCTTGTATTATCATAATAATACTCTATCTCAGCATTTTCTTAGGAGGGCAGTTGGTTTTTACACCTGTTGAATAAATAATCAATGAATCAATCAGTAAACAAACTGAGGACCTCATTAAACAAATATATTAAAAGCTGCTTTGTGCCAAGCATTTGTTAGCAATGACCCAGTAACTAGTTTCACAGAGATTACAGAGTAAAAAGTGATGAATTGAGCTTTAGAATCACTTTTTTCATCAATGTTATAATTTAAACAAACAAACAAAAAGAACCCTCTAAGGTCCTAGTGTCTTAAGTTTTTAAATACAAGGAGATCTGGGTTATACCATCTGATTTACATATTATAAACCAACCAAGTGAAGCCTATTTATTAAATTTAAACATAAATTTAAGAGTTCAAAATTAAAAGCTAGCAGCAAAATATTATAAAGATATCTTAGTAGGTCTAGAAATTCTTTTTTAATGCACAGAAAGGTACGTTATATACTAAGACAAAAATCTGACTAACCAATAGCAGATTATTAACAATGCTGAACTGTTCCAGACATAAATAAAAATTCAACTTAAAAAAAAATTTAGGAACAGGCTTGTTTATAACCCAGGGACTACCCAGCTATACTTGACATAATGAATTAGAGTATTTATATTTACTTCGTTTATGGTAATATACCTATTTCGTTTGTTTCTAATTCCTCAATGAAATATTTCTTTTTTATCTGGAGCTGCTCAAGCCTTGTTTACTCAGTGATTAGACTAGAAAGAGGAAGGTAAAAATGGCAGTTAATAGGCTGATTTGTAAGAGAGCTCTAGTGGCCTAGCAGCAAAAAGATGCACTGCAATCCCAAAGGCACGCAGTTCGAATGTACCAGATGCTCTGCTGAAGAAGGAGGGACAATCACCTCCTTTACCAGTCAGATCTGATTTGACAGTACACACAACACAAAATAATAACATAAAAAAAAGGGTAATCTGTATGAACATTTAAATAATGATCCATCATAAAAATGTGGTAGTATGGAGCTGTGTAACCACTGAATCGAAACTGACCCACACAGCTGACCGTCCAATGGGTTCTCAGAGGCAGTTAACTGCACAGGAGGAGACTGCCCATCCTTCTCCCACAGAGCAGCTGGTGGCCTCTAACCATGTACCTTCAGAATTGCAGCACAGCTTCTTGCCACTAGGCCACCAGCGCTCCCTTTATAGAAATTTACAAAACACAAATTTCTCATGATTTTCAATTCCACATTAAATATCCAAAATGAGACTATCAAACCACTTACTTCAAAATGAAGTTTCAAATTTTTAGTATAAGTGATTAAGAAAGAACTTTCAAACCTATGAGCAAAGTTAATGGTTTTAGTCATGTAATATGACATTTTCTCCAAGTCTGTGAATTTTTAAATGACTCTTTTCAAACGTAGTATGTGAATTATAGTCAAGAATATTTTTTAGTTAGTACTGCAAAATACTAAACTAGTTAACTGGTAACTTTACCATGTAACTTAAATACAGTGATCACACCTCTAACCAAGACATTTGTAAAAAGCCTAAGAGTCACGAAGACATATCTGGGGAAAAAGACAGTGAAGAAGAGGATGAAATAAATACAAAGAGCCTGAGGTGGGCATGGAGTGTTTGAATAAAGAAGAGTAAGGCCATGAAGGAGGGACAGCAAGGCCAACTGAGCACAGTAAACAGGGAAAACAGGTGATAAATTCTGAGTATTATTTGGGGGCAAGAGTTCTGATGAGCACTTTGTAGGCCACAGCAGGGATTTTGATTTTTACTGTAAGACTAAAAATACCTAAAAAGTTCTGACTTGACTTCCATTTTACATTTCACTACCTACTTGGGTAAAAGAAAACTGGAGAGGTACAAGAGTGGGAGAAGTTATTGCAATAATCCAGAGAAAAGACCATAGCCAAGTAATAAAAAGTGGTAACAAGTTGCTGGACTCTATACATACCCAGCTGACAGCACAATGTATGTGGGGTTTACAAAAAGATACAGGCATTTTATTAGCATTATTACTGTTATGTGTAGTTGAGCTTATGTACAACAGATCTGAACTCCGTCCTATCCTGCACCATCCTCATCATCTCTGACATACCTGAGCCCACTGCCACAGTCACTATGTTAATCTATCTTGTACAGGGTCTTCCTCTCTTTCACTGACCCTCCTTCGACCTTTCAAATATAATGTTCTCTTTCTAAGGAATACCATCCACACAACATGTCCAAAGAGACAAAGCTTCACCATCCTTGCCTCTAAGGATCTGAATGATTTAAACAGTACTTTAAAAAACTGGAGGGTGTTCTAGAGGTATAGCCCACGGAGAGCTGTGCTGCTAAGCCAAAAATGTTGCACAAAGTGGTTGGACCCTGCTAGCTGCTCATGAGACAGAGAGACAGACAGACAATGTAATCTTCAGCCATTCTATTTACAGCTCAGGAAGCCTGCTGGAGGGTCAGCTATAAGTTAGATCCATGTAGAAGTCTGAAAGTTGGAGGAATTAAACAAAAAAAAAAAACTGGCAATGTTTCTTTTTCTTTTTTTGGCAGTTTTTATGGTTTATTTAGCACAAATAAAATGTGCAAACAAGCTTTCTATTCATTTTCTTCGCTGCGCAGTCTGGCATTGGGATTGGTGACTCTAATGGCCAGCCGGGCTGCTCTTTCCACAATGGCTTTGCAGTTCTTGGAGGAAACATTGTGCGCAATCTCAGCACAGTAAGATTTGTTGCACATCAGCAGCACCTCCAGCTCCTTGACATTGTGGACTAGGAATTTGCGGAAGCCACTGGGCAACATGTGTTTTGTCTTCTTGTTGCTCCCGTAACCA